CCAAGGAGGAGAGAGGGGCTAGAGATTGAGTTCAACCTCCAAATGACCAATGATTTTAATCAATCATGCCTACATAATGAAACCTCCCTAAAAACCTCCAAATGATGGGGTACAGGGACCTTCCAAACTGGTGACTACACACCTAGGCTGGGAGGGTGCTACACCCCGACTCCAGGAGGACAGAGGCTTCAGCACGTTGAGACTTCTGGATCCTGCCCTACACATAAGGATCTCTACCATGTGGCTGTTCCTGCGTTGTATCCTTTATAATGAACCAGTAATCATAACTAAGGCATTTTTCCCAAGTTCTGTAAGCTGCTCTAGAGAATTATGAACCTAAGGAGGCAGCTGGGTGAGCCCCCAAATCTGCAGTTGGTGCGGGTGACCTGGGAGCTCCATCTGTGGTAGATGTGTGAAGTGGGGGCAGTCTTGAGGAACTGAGCCCTTTGCCTGGGGATCTGTGTCAGCTGTTGGGAGTTAGCATCAGAATGGAGTGGAGCTTGTGGACACCTAGTTGGTGAACTGGAGAATTGGAGAACTGCTCAGTCTGGAAAAACTACACAGATTTGGTGTCAAAGGAAAAAAAGACATATATTTAGAGTAAAAACTGGTGTCAGAAACCCGACACAATGAGTCATGGCCAAGTCCTTGGGGCTCTGCAGGTGGCCCCTCTGGATGCCTCAGACTGTCCCAACTCAACACCCAACCAACCTGGGTTCCTGATCCGGAGAGGTCTGTGGGATGAGCGACAGCCGCCAAGGCACTGAGAAGGAAGACCAAGGAGGAAGAAGAAAAGCCAGGACGGGGTAGCCTCAGGACAGGCAAGAGTGGAGAGTACGCACCAAGAACAGAGCATTCCATGGCAGAGTCCACTCAAACGTTCATCGAGGAGATGGGGTGCCTGGGTGGCTAGTCAGTTAAGTGTCCGAGTCTGTTTCAGCTCAGGTCATGATCTCAAGGTTTCATGGGCTGGAGCCATGCTGCCAGCACAGAGCCTGCTTGGGATACTCTTTCCCTCTCTCTCTGCCCCTCCCACACTCGCACTGTTTCTGTCTCTCTCAAATGAAAAAATTACATATATATTTTAAAAATCTTCAGTGAGGGGAGAACTGAGGAACAGCCAGGGGATCCAGGAACACAGAGGCCCCAGAAATCCCGACCAGAGTACTCCCAAAGACATCCAATTTACCTTTTGACCCAACTCGTAACTCCACAATCTTTTCATTCTTCAATCAACTGTACATTTAATGTATTTTTCTGAATGATCTGTATTTGACAGTAAAAGTTGAGAAAACACAGACTGGGAGCAGAGAAACAGAAGGCATGACCAGACCTCCCTGCTTGTTACAAAGTTGGGCAGGGCAGGCCCTTATGGGCTCAGAGCACCAGCTAGGGAGACTGGGAGACCCTTGTGGGCTTTCAGAAGTGGGAAGGGGATGAGAGAAGAGAAGGATGTGGGGCGGGCAGGAAGCCTGGGGCACTAACCACGGTAAACACAAATAGGACACACAGGTGTATGAGCCCCTAATATAGAGAGAAAAACAAATACCACAGGATAAATCCCATAGAATCATCAACAAACAAGCAAACCCAGAGCTAACAGAATCATTCTGCTTACATCAAATAATGCTTGTATAAAATACATACTTTGCAACCTCCTCCTTATGTGCCATTTTCCATAAATATTTTTGTGTCAATGTAGGCTCCTGAAATGACCGTTTTGCTAAATCTATACCAATCACACCCTATTTCATTCCCTAGCTGGCTCTGTTGAGAACAACAACTCCCACCACCTAGTTACAGAAACACAACACAGCCAAGGCCAGCCCTCAGCAGTGACTCAATAAGCTGTGTCCAGCCCTGAAGAGCTCACTTTTTCTCCCCTCCTAAAGAAGAGATGACCCGAGCTCTCCTCAGTAAGTACCACCTCCTCAAGTTCATGTACTCACATACTCTTCTGTTGGATAAGCATACACCTTCATCTGCTCTACAAGGGTGGAAATTCTTGGGTTCCTGGGTGGCTCAGTCGGTTGGGCATCCAACTTGTGGTTTCAGCTCAGGTCATGATTTCATAGTTCCAGGAGTTTGAGCCCCGCATTGGGGTCCTCACTGATGGTGTGGAGCCTGCTCGGGGTTCTCTCTTTCTCACCCTCTCTTTCTCCCTCAAAATAAATAAATAAACTTTGTAAAAAAGGGTGGGGTGGAAATTCTGGAAAAAGGATCCCAAAGAATTGAAAGCACTGAGGGGATGGGGTGCCTGGGTAGCTAGTCAGTTAAGCGTCTGACTCTTGGTTTCAGCTCAGGTCATGATCTCGAGGTTTCATGGGTGGAAGCCATGCTGCCAGCACAGAGCCTGCTTGGGATTCTCTCTCCCTCTCTCTCTGCCCCTCCCACACTTGCACTCTTTCTGTCTCTCTCAAATGAAAAAAATACATATATATTTAAAAAATGTTCAGTGAGGGGAGAACTGAGGAACAGCCAGGTGTTCACTCTGCCAACGCCATCCAGAAGAAAATGACGTATGTTAACTTGTCAGTGAAAAAGATGCATGTGAGTATGACCAAATAATGTGGTAGTCAACAAGGAGAAAGCTCTTCATGACTAAAACAGAAAAATCCAGGACACCTGGGCAGCTCAGTTGGTTATGCGTCCAACTCTTGATTTCGGCTCGGGTTGTGATCTCTCGGTTCGTGAGTTTGAGCCCCAAGTTGGGCTCTGTACTGACAGTGCAGAGCCTGTTTGTGATTCTCTGCCTCCCTCTCTCTCTACCCCTCCCTGCCTGTACCCTCTCTTTCTCTCAGAAATAAACATTTTTTTAAAATCTGAATTCCAGGAAGCTCACTAAGGAGATATTTCTGGGGATAAGGACCGATATGAATTACTTATAAAGCTGTAAATCTTTTAACAGATTTACAGATGTCAAATCAGAAGATAAGACTGAATTAAGGGATTAAAGTCAATCCTTGCAGAAGTCTGCAGGAGAAAGATGTGGTTGACAGAAAACAACTCTTGTGGGGCACCTGGGTAGCTCAGTGAGTTGAGCATCCGACTTCAGCTCAGGTCATGATCCCATGGTTCATGGGTTTGAGCCCTGCATCAGGCTCTCTACTGACAGCCCAGAGCCTGGAGCCTGCTTTGGATTCTGTGTCTCCCTCTCTCTCTCTATCCCTCCCCCCCTTGCTTGCTCGCTCGCGCTCTCTCTCTCAAACATAAATAAACATTAAAAATATTTTTAATAGTTAAAAAAAAGAAAACAACTCTCATTTGTGATAATATTAAGACTTTTCATACTGGCAGCAGTGCACACTGGCTTGAGGTTCCCTTTCACCCATTGTCTCATTTCATTCTTAAAACAAGCCTGTAAAATACTCCACTTTACCCATGGTGGCCTTCAACATTGGGCTCTAAGTGACCTGGCCAGAGTCACACACAGCTCTCAAGAACCACCTTGCACTTGAACCCAGAAATGTCTGACTCAAAGTCCTTGGTCTTAACCTTCCTGTCAGCCACTTCCTTCTCAAACAGTTCCTCCAGCACTTTGCATTCTGGTTGGAGGAGGTTTATGAGACGGTCCTATGCTCTCCATCTACTATACTATCAATTTAAATTGGTAAATGCTCACAACTCTGTGAGCATTTTTTAATAGAGAACAAATTTTATCTTAAAAATTCTTGAGATGCTGGGGCAACTGGGTGGCTCAGTCGGTTGGGCGTCCAACTTCGACTCAGGTCATGATCTCGGGGTTTGTGAGTTCGATCCCCACTTCGGGTCTGTGCTGACAGCTCAGAGCCTGAAGCCTGCTTCAGATTCTGTGTGTGTCTCTCTTTCTCTGCCCCTCCCTCCCTCACACTGTGTCTTTCTCTCTCTCAAAACTAAATAAACATTAAAAAAAAAAAAAAATACCAGAGATGCTAAAACCTGTCACAAAACCAGGACAAAACCAGCTGAGTTTTCAACTGAAATCAACTTTTCTAGTTCAGCTCTCCTTGTATATTCCCTCCTAGGAGTTCAAACAACACACAGAGCATTCTGCCAGAAAGAGCAGCTCCTCCCCATACCCCCCAGGATCACCATGGGAGCGGCCTTCCCAGGCAAGGGGACCAGCTCCACCTCCTCCCTGCTCCTCCTGGGCTCCTGCAGCGGGGCCCACTTTCCAGGGTGCTGCAGGAGGCAGCAAGCCAGGAGCTCACCACGGGTGGGTGGTCTGCAGCACCCTCCTGTGCTCCGGCCACCCTGCACCCCTTCAGGAGGCACAGAAGGGGGAGGCAGCCGGCTGTGCTTCCTGTGGCTCTGACTGATTCCCTTTGAGCTCTTGCTTGTGAGTATTTGCAGAGAAACAACAAGAAAACCAAGTGCTGTTATTAAGTTTCCTTTCTCATTCAGCAGGGTAAGGACAAGTAACAGGAGTCCAGGAACATGGGCCTGGGCGGGACCGGCCCTGAGCATCCCATGCTGATCAGAGGGTGAGCCCGACATTAAGCACCCAAACCACCGAGAGGGCGCACTTCCACTCAAGACTCTGATCAAAGCGCCAAACCCTCCGCGTCCTCCCAGTTGCTCTGAATTTGATGATAATCCTTGGCTTTGCAGCTCATTGGTCATTTCATCTGTAATTCCAATTCTTCCTGAATCAATACTTTTATAAATGGCTTTTAGGCCCAGTGTGAAAAAACTACAAAGGCATTAATTCCATTTTTTTTTCTTTCCAGACTCTGTAAATATCAACTTTACCAATCTTCTCCGAGGATCATAAAATTGAAATGACATCTTTAAAGGGGTCAAAATAATTGTTATGATGGTTCTACCATTAGTGAAGATTCAAATTACCTTATAGTTTTATTCAACCCAGTAAAGAAATTCAAAATTTCAGTTGAATTACAATGAAATATTTAAGTATCAAAATGAACTGGAACCAAACAGAACACAGAGTTCCAAAGCAGCACCCAATCCCTTGGTGCTTTGGTGCTCTGCTCATCACCAGAGTGGTGACCTATACTCACTGTCAGGTTCCAGTTGATCTGGGGGATTCTCATGTGAAGGTTCAGACTGAACAGAATCAGCAAGACTCCGGTCACCACAAATGCACTGCAACTCACAAACTCGAAGAAGTAGAGGCCTTCACACGGGGAACACTCCATGATGGTCTCTATGCAGATGAACGCAATCAGGGCCAAAATCTAGGAACAAAAATTGGAAACACACATGTATGTGTATATTTAGTACACAGCCGTGGACATATGTGCCTATCACATTTAAATACAACTCCAGCACCACCATATGCAGCCAGAGTTTTCCTCTGGGGACGACAGCATCACTGTCACGAACACAACCTGATGAAATTCTCGTGCAACAACAGGTATGGAGGATAGAATTCCTGAGGTAGACCCCCACGCCCCACGACAGTCCCCACACACCATTGGGGTGTGGCACGGCCCTTGTGAGGAAACAGAAAGGAACATCTCTGTGATGTTTTCAGTTCTTCCTCTGCCACTAGTAAGTGGCCACTGCCTACACACGTTTCCAATTTATAGTCCCTACCACAATTATGCCAAACACGGAGAGGGCAGGGTCCAAATGGTGTCCATTTGTGCCATCTGTAGCTACCCCAGTGGTTCAAGCGGAGGTCACGCAGGCTGACTGGGACCCCTGAGGGCTTTAAGACAGGAATGGGTATAATCCTTCCTTCTCCCAATTACAAGTCCCTAAAAATGAGGCCTACCTAATTAATTCATAAGCCGTGCTTTTTAAAAGTTATCCCTGGAGGGGTGCCTGGGTGGCTCAGTCAGTTAAGCATCTGACTCTGGATTTTGGCTCAGGTCATGATCTCACAGTTGGTGGGTTTGAGCCCCACATTGGGCTCCGTGCTGACAGTGCAGAGCCTGCTTTGGGATTCTCTTTCCTTCCCTCTCTCTCTGCCTCTCCTCTGCTCACTTTTTCTCTCAAAATAAAGAAACAAAAAATTTTTTAATAAAAAATTAGGACACCTGGGTGGCTCAGTTAAGTGTCCAACTTCGGCTCAAGTCATGATCTCACAGTTCATGGGTTCAAGCTCTGTGTTGGGCTCTGTGCTGACAGCCAGCTCAGAGCCTGGAGCCTGTTTCAGATTCTGTGTCTCCCTCTCTCTCTGACCCTCCCCTGCTGTCTCTCTCTCACACACAGAAATAAATAAAACATTAAAAAAATTTTTTAATAAAAATAAAAGTTATCACTGTACTTGGTCATAAAAAGCTGGAATGGCAGTTTATAAAAACATTTAAAAATTTACCAATAACGGCATCAATTTCTTTCTGAGGAACCAAAGTAATATTCCAGCAATATGTCCCAAGAGATCAGAGCTCATAGTTAAACAGGTATCAACAGAAATTACCAGGTGAGCTTTTAAAAGATTTCAGGACAGGGAGCACCTGGATGGCTTAGTAGGTTAAGGGTCTGACTCTTGGTTTTGGCTCAGGTCATGATCCCATGGTTCCGGAGTTCGAGCCCCATGTCGGGCTCTGTGCTGACAGCTCAGAAACTGGAGCCTGGTTTGGATTCTGTGTCTCCCTCTCTCTCTGTTCCTCTCCCACTCACATTCTGCCTCTCTCTCAAAAATAGATGAACATTTAAAAAAAATTTTTAAATATCATGAGAAAGAGGGGGCCCAGTGGCTGAATTAATGACACAATGACCAGGACAGTTCAGGGGGTCCTGCACCTAAAACCAGATCAATCTTAGTCTCCTGGCCTCTACTCTACCACTTCTTTAGCTGAGCACTTCCCAGCCGACCACATTTCAAGCCTGTGCCAGAACCTGAGGTGAGCCCCCACTTCAAAGGTCCAGGAGGTACAGACGACTCTGTGGTCCCAGATCTGTCCTTAGAGCCACCAACATCAGCATCATGAGAGAGCCCATCAGAAGTGCAGAACTTCCTTTTTTTTTTTTTTAATGTTTTAATTTTTATATATTTTTGAAAGACAGAGAGAGAGCTGGCAAGGAGCAGAGAAGGAGACACAGAATCCAAGGCAGGCTCCAGGCTCTGAGCTTGAAGCGGGGCTCAAACCACGAACCAGGAGATCATGACCTGAGCTAAAGTCGGACGCTTGACCAACTGAGCCCCTCAGGCGTCCCAGAAGTGCAGAATTTCTGCCTCTCCTCCTTAACCTACAGAGTCAGAATGTTTTTATTGTTTGCCAGATGATTAAACTCTGGGAAAACTACAAGGCACGCGCCTTTCAGTGCGCAACTCAATGCCGCCTCCTCCCCATGCCTTCCCTGATTGTTTCTCTTCTTGCCAGACATTATTTGATTCTACCCTCTCCTGGGAAGGCTTGTTCAACTGTGAATGCATTCTACCCTTTTTTAAACTTGCCATTATGCCTCTCTCTGCCTCATGAGCTTTTGGAAGGCAGGGGCCAGCCCATCTCTTTCTTCCTGGGGCACCAAGTACAGTTACTTGTGCACTGCCAGCAAACAGGCTCGGAGGCCACTAAAAACCCACATCCACAACTGCTGACTTGCTTGGCAAGATCTCCACATGAAAAGCAGGGCAAGGTGGCTCCCCTCTACCCACTATCAATATTAATACTTCAACACTGGTGCGCTTGGTTGATTCATTTGGTTAAAAGCCTCTGGCTCTTAATTTTGGCTCAGGTCATGATCTCACAGTACATGGAATCCAGCCCCATGTCGGGCTCTGAGCTAACAGCCCGGAGCCTGGCTTGGGATTCAATCTCTTCCTCTCTCATCCCCTCTGGCCCTGATTGTGCCCTCACTCTCTCTCTCAAATAAATAAAAATAAACATTAAAAAAATACTTCCACACAGCAATCATAAAAGACACCTCTATCAATATGTGGTTCACACTTCTATTTTAAGTCAGAACATTCTGAGACAGGGGTCTTTAGGCACACATTTTGTGTATCTTCTAATGGCTCTTCTTATAATTCTCTACAGAAGCACAGACTTGAATTCTCCATCTGAATTTCATGCCTGACTTGCAATCAATTCACAAAGAAGTAGTTCATATAAGGGAAACTCCTAAACTTTTTCTTCCCCTTGTAATTGGATCTAGTAATCCTGGGTAAGAAATAACACACTGTACTGATGAGTTACAAATGTTTCTGGTATGCTAACTTCAACCATATTTGTGTGGGAAGGTAACACCTACATTCTTAAATATTAAAAATGGTTTCAAGAATATGCAAATCTAATCGGCCACTCAATACAGCAGTGAACAAAACAAAAATCTCTGCTCTCTAGCCCATATTCTAATGAAAGTGAAGCTTTTAAAAATTATATTAAAAATACAATATGCTAGGCAGTGTTAAGTGCAAAGGGGGAAAATTCAAAGCAGGGAAGGAGAATGCAATGTAACTAGGGCAAAGGTGTTTGAAATGTTAGGCAGAGTGACATGAAAGCCTTACTAAGAATATTCTAGATTTTTGACAAAGTTTATCACAGTCTATTACAAATGATATTCAAATGAAAGAGAACATCAACTGCCCCCATTCTTTTTTTTTTTTTTTTTTTAACATTTATTTATTTTTGAGAGACAGAGAGAGTGTGAGCAGGGGAGGACAGAGAGAGAGGGAGACACAGAATCTGAAGCAGGCTCCAGGCTCCGAGCTGTCAGCCCGGAGTCCAACACAGGGCTCAAACTCACAAACAAGATCATGACCTGAACGGAAGTCGGCCACGTAACCAACTAAGCCACCCTGGCGCCCCATCAACTGCCCCCATTCTGACCTCAGTCTGTTCTATCTCACTAAATTCTTTCCAGTTTATCTCTTAATTCGAGCCAAACACCCTGTGGGCAAAGCATCCTGTGATGGAAACTGAAAGTGCCCCCTGAAGCAACAGGGACTGCCCTGAGCCGGCAAGACCCCGTGGGGCTGACCCCAAGACAGTGATCAACCTGAACTTTACTGACCAGATGCAAGCACCCACCTTTTTTTCTATAAACGTGGAAGCATTTTCAACACGTGGGAGATGTCTTTGAGGCATCAGTCCTAGTCTTCCCAGCGAGGGCCTCCCTGAAATAAATTCCTTTCTTCTTTCCCCGCCACTCGCCTCTCCCCCTTTGGATTTTGTCAGCGGCCAGTAGCTGAACCCAGTCTGTTTGAAACCCCTGGAGCCAGGGGCTCTTGCACCCCAGTTATAAAAGAATAAAATTAAACAGCAAATGAAGATATACACCGGGCAAGGTCCAAAAGGGTCTCTAACACAGGAGCTCTGCCCTGTGGAGTTTGGAAGGCACGGCCCTCCTGGAACGTGCACACACATTTTGGTTTCCCAACCTGGCAGCTGTCAACTCTGGCCTTCAGGTTTTTATAGAGCTCAGTCTGCAGCCCCTTCCCAGAGGCTGATGGGTGGGGCTGAGTTCTCTTATCACAAGGTTGCTTCCCCTGGCAACCAGCCCCCATCCTTAAGTCCGCGCATTAACCCAAACTCAGGTGTGGCTGAAAGGGGGTTGCTAAGAATATCAAGATACCCCTCGTCACTTAGGAAATTTTAAGGGTATTAAGAGCTGTGCCAGAAATGAGATGAAGACCAAATATATATTTCGCAGTATCACAAGTATTCCTATGTAGACAGAGATACAGATAGATACACACATACACACAACTGTACACATACATTAATCAATCTCCTTTTGATAGGTGTTTAAGCAGCTTCTAATATTGTTTCTAATAAGCAGTACGCTTTTTTGCCTGCCTTTTGGCACAGCAAATGTCAAATCTTCCTCCTGCACAGCGAAGTCTATCAATTGTTGCTAAACTAAAAGCTACCTGTTGACTAACAAGAAAGAAAGAACTCAAAGTTATGCTGGAAGCCAACAACTTCAAGCAAGCCCCAAGAGTCAGAAGTAATTCAACTTATAACAGTTTTGCAGTAGACAAATGTCACAATGTAAAATAGTAGAGCTGTTCAAAAAGATGCAAGTAACAGCCCTTGTATTTGCTAATTGAGGGATCATGGGTGTCCTTGGACAGATCCCTTTCCATGTAGCACCAACCAATTCACCAAGAGTATTTTCATGATTGGCAAGCAAATTTATATTAAAAGGTTGTCAGCAGCTAATCACAACCGGCAACCTCAAAAGGCAGGAAGGGAGGGAGGAGAAAAGTTGGCTGATTAAGTTACTATTAAAACTGTTTAAAATTTTGGGGCACCTGGGTGGCTCAGTCGGTTACGTGTCC